AATGTTATGCATATTTTACCACAATAAAAAGGGGGTGGGGGAAATGACATGCAAAATGTTGTTTGTTAAGTCCAATAAAATGATAAATGGTAATATATATATATATATATATATATATATATACATACACACACATACATATATATATATATATATATATATATATATATATATATACCTTTTTATGGAATTGACACTGTGCTAGGCCATTGAGGGGGAAGGAATGGAGAATGAGACATGTATTTGGCAATGAAGAAAGCATTATGGAATGAGAAAATACTTACAACTAAGCCAAAATAAGGTATCTGTTCATTGAACTAGCATGCTGCTATTCAAGTAATGGCTTGAGAACAGTGTAAACATGTGTGCTTATGTGTGTGTTGTATGTGTATAAATTGATGGGTAGGAGGCCATATCCGAAGCCCTTAAACATGTCTGTTGGAACCTCAAGTGGCTATTTTGTGGGGAAGGACAATAGGTGTAGTCACTTGAAAAGCAATCAGCACTCCTCCCTGGTGCCGTCCCAGCGGCCCCTCCACCCGCTCCCAGATCCAGCACGCTGGCCTTTACTGCAGCGGGGAACTGGGGGAACACAACTGAAGGAGCTGTTAAGCAAACAGATGATCTTAGAAGGGAGGACAAATCCCCGGTTATAAGAGGGGATCTCCAGGGCCTGCCCTGGCGTGGGAGGAGAGCTGATTTCTCCAGGGGCCCCTCGGCCCCCCACAGGGGTGATGCCCAGGACACTCAGGGAGCCCTAGCTCCCAGTCAGAACCTAGAGGACCAAACCAGAGACCACTTCCTCCCCTGCTCTGGAGGAGGTGAATTATAAATGTTAACAATGACATATACATATTTTGAAAACATTAGTGAGATAAAGATGTGTAGCCCACAATTTCCATGTAATAAAATATAACGTGCTTTCTTTCATAATTCCAGGTAGATGATTGGTTCTCATAGGCTTTTGCTGAACTGGTGAATCCATAGCCCAGTAGTCGGCAAACCACAGCTCGCGATTCACGTGTGGCTCTTTGGCCCCTTGAGCGTTCTAACGCCACTTCTTCAAAATAGACTCGTCCAGGCCGAAAACTGACTTCTGTGCATGGGCCACGAAGTTTCAATCGCACTGTACATGCGTGCCTGCATGTGATATTTTGTGGAAGAGCCACACTCAAAGGGCCAAAGAGCCGCATGTGGCTTGCGAGCTGCGGTTTGCCGATCACTGCCAAGGCCAAACTACAGTTGCAGGTGATAAACCAGTGTAGTCTTGGCCTTCACTTTAACAAGAGGAAAGCGGGAGCTGCGAGGATGTCACTCGCTTAGCAGTGACACGGTGACTTCCTTGCTGGACTGAAGGATAGTTTTTGAGCTCTGGAATGAACGGCCTCCACTTTTGTGCTGTTCACAATGAATGGCTGCAGATAAAACACACTTTTTGATTAATGTGCATCATTATCTTTCATCCTATGGCATCTGCCCATTTCCACAGTGCGACTCCTCCCACCTTGGCCAGAAGTGACTGTGCTGAGCCTGAGTCAGGAGGAACTGGGCCGTGACACAAAGTATTTCTATCCTATGGATACAAAGCACACGCAGCCTCAAGGGCGTAGGGAGCAGTAAAATGTAGTAAGAGAAAGTGATGAGTTTTCAGTATTTACTACTCTTATTTTTTTTAAATATACTTTTATTGATTTCAGAGAGGGAGAGAGAGAAACATCAATGATGAGAATCATTGATCTGCTGCCTTCTATACACTCTACTGTGTATAGGATCAAGTCCACAACCCAGGCATGTGCCCTGACCAGGAATTGAATCGTGAGCTGGTTCATAGGTTGACACTCAGCTGGGTTGCTATTCTTGTGTAAACATAATGGTTTGAAAACTTCCTGGAAGTTTAATAGTCACCTGCAGCAGACCAGGAGTGCAGGCCCCAGGAGCTCGTGTCTAGAGCAAGGTCTGCAGGTTGGCAGGTGGTGGCCAAGTGTGGACATGAAGCGCCCCATAGGCTGGGTTCTGCCAGGCTCATCCTTCTGGGGGTGTGGGAAATGAAGGGACCCCATAAAGCAGTCCAATTCACCAGGGGACTACTTGGCTCTTTATAAATTGTGACCTTGTTCATCGGTGAGGAGTCCAAGACTTTTATTTTAATCCCACAAATGGTTGTTTTGGCAGGTGTGGCAGGAGGGGAAATAGCGACATGGGTGTGCAGTTTTACAGGCGACAGGAGGGCTCTGGGGGGAGCCGGGCCTGCTCTCAGCTGGGGCGCCGCAGCCAAGAGTGCCAAGTCCACATGCTGACTCCAGGTTTTGATTTTGCAATTATCCAAATGAGCTTAATGCTTCAAATCCTTGGTTTAGGAGTTTTTATTTGAAAGTTCTATTTTTAAATGCATCCGTGTTTGTATTGAAACTGCCCCAAAGACGCCTTCCTTCAGGGCCTCAATCCCTGGAAATAGAAAACCCGCCGGAAGAATGCGGGTGCTGCTCTGCTCCCCAGGTCCCAGGCAGAGAGCAGACCGAGGTCACCTTCGCGGTGGGTCCAGCCACTGGGGACCAATAGGTGTGAGTCCCAGTGACCAACTCAGGCTGCACAATAACCCGGGACACTTGTGCCTCCATGGGCCCTTTCTCCATAGAAAATATTAAAATTTTTATTTTATAACTACATTGATATAAAGGCAAAATATTAATATTACACATTAAAATATTTGCTTTGACTTAAAAGTTCACTTTTGTCTCCTAAAAATTTACACTTTCATGGGCTCCTAAAGTGCCCTGGGCCCTGATACGTAATAGCTTTTCAATATATATATTTTTTATTGATTTCAGAGAGGAAGGGAGAGGGAGATAGAAATATCAATGATGAGAGAGAATCACTGACTGACTGCCTCCTGCACACCCCTACTGGAGACTGAGCCCACAACCCAAGCATGTGCCCTGACCAGAATTCGAACCATAACCTCCTGGTTCATAGGTTGACGCTCAACCATTGAACCACATGGGCTGGGCTCAGCTCAACTTTAAAACTAAAATTATGAAGTATGACTATAGTACTTCCTTAAAACTTATAAACCAAAGTAGAGAAAACATTTAATAATCCCATTTGTGTAGTTTATCAAAATAGTAACACCAGGATTTAACTCATCCATAAGACAGTTATAATCAGAGACTTTCTAAAGCTTCATGAATGATCTTAAAATTTGATAAATGCTTACTTGTCTTATAAAACTTCAATTTATACAGAAAAGAAGCAAATGACACAATATGAATGAAAAGGTGAATTTCCCTGAACTTTCTTCAAAGAAAAACAGGACATTCAAAATTTTAAAAAATAAAAATGCTTGTAAATTTCTTCCAGGTATGAACTGAATTACACAACCCATACACTTATAGAAAAAATATGATTATTTTTAATGATTTATGTATAAAAGAAAAAATAAATTTTTATGGTACAATTTGAAAGACTACTTCATACAAAATTTTACCCTCATACAATGTATGTAATTTTTTGCAACAAAAATTTTAGTCATATATACAAATTCATAAATGGCAGACATCTTAACTTGAAGCAAAACAGGGCCATTCGGGATTGTGGCTAAGCCATTTGATTCAGTAGAAAACAGATTGTACGTTTATGAAGGACTAGTAACTAGAATGCCTCCCCACCTCCAATAGACTATTTAGTATAATCAGATCAAACAGAACTTTACAGTGCACTTTAGAAAGGAGAAAAAGACCAGTGTTTCTAAATGGCAGATCTTGGTAATCTGATCTTGAACTTACTCAGCTTAGAAAATCATATAACTACCTTAGTAAAAGATTTACTTTGGAAATCACACTAAGAAAAATCCAAGCTGTGCCACTTATGTTAACCCTCAAAGAATCAAAACTTCCTCAGGCAGTCCCAACACTTAACGGGCACTCCTTGGTTTACATAATAAATACAGCTTCTAGAAATAAAAGTATCAGGAGCAGTAAGTACATCTCTGAACGGTGAAACCTTTATATACAAACCTGGAAACATGTACAGTATTGTATGTAAAATGAAAACTAAATATAAACCATGTTTAAAATAAAACTTGGCTTTAAAAAATAATTTCCTCCCCCCATAAAAAGGTCATATAAAAAAAATTGGTAAATTGTGCCTCCTTTTAAGTTTTTCTTTCTCAGATTCCCCTCAACTACCCGTACCCATCTCTCAGGTACACGGTGCACAGACCAGTCCGAAGGGAAGACTTGCTGCCGGGCCTGGGAGAGCAGGCCTCCTGCAGAGCCACACAGCACCGTCTGGGGAAGCGTGGGCTGATGCAGAAGAAAGGGAGGATGGCCGGGACAAGCCCGCGTCCAGACAATGTCATGATGGCCACATTGAAATCGCCTTCTTAAATGTATGGACTTTATGAGTTAGAAACACAAGCAAAAGATAACAGGAACCAATAAGAAAATTACATAAAGAATTATATACAATTAGGAAGAGGTTTTAAAAAGAGTTCACCTGCATTCTTATAAAAATACAGGCTGAATTAACCCTTTTTAAGTGCAAATGGATTAAAAATATAATCCATTCATGCTCAGGCCTCATTGTATTTATAAAGTGCCTCAAAGAGTACAGTCATCCTTCCTCCAATATCTGACCTGCAGAAGTCCTCACCAAACCTGAAAACTGAAATCTACGGCCACTGTTCGCCAACAGCACTCCTGCTGGACAACTTCAGTACAGAACTAACCTGCACAGGCTGCTGCGGACAGAACACGCCTGCAAAGTAATTCCCACACAGGTGTCTGGGAGGGCTGTTTATATAGTGAGCAGCCTAGCCCGAGGAAGGTAGAAAACATGGTCTTTTTATACACTGAATGTGCCTACTGTTTTGAAAGCTCTGAAAATTAGTTGGATAACATTATAAATTTGTTCTTTTTTTTGCAAATTGAGAGTTAAAGAAAAATGATGTTCTATCTGCCTTTTTATTTTCAAACTGAAGATGACTTGAAATTGTTTAGCTTTCACCTTCTTGAACTTAGATTGATACTGTACACCATTTTCTGAATTTTCTCCTCGTTCTTCAGGATGTTGGCCTTCACAGCACAGATCTTGTCCTGCTGGTCTTTAATCAGCTGCTCCAGCTCCGCCAGCTCCACCTTCAAGGGCTCCACGGCACTGTCCGTGATACTAATGGAACAAAACCAGCGGCTTGTAAGTATCCCTCTCATACTAGATTTGCTTCTTAATTAAAACACTGAAAGACTACAAAAGTACTTATTTCATCCAAAGAAAAAGGGTGAAAATATAAATGTACACAATAATGACATGAAGGGACAGAAATCTCATGCCTGGGGAAGATCCACTCATTTTCACATCCCTGCCACAACCAAAAGTGCAGCTGAAAGTGAAACTTATACAAAGGAGGCTAGTATTTCTTTCTTTTTTCCACTGATTTTTTTAGGGGGTGAACGGGAGGGAGGGAAGGAGAGAGAAACATTGATGCCTCCCTCACACACCCCCACCAGGTCGAGATCAAACCTGCATATGCCCTTGTTGGGGAATCAAACCCAAGACCCTTTAATGAATGGGCATAGGCTCTAACCACTGAGCGGCTGACCAGGGCAAAAACACAGCAGTTGATACAGTTACATGCATCTTAGATTCACTGATTATAAATACCAAATATCAAACATTATTCTAAAATAATTTTTAATGACTATTACATTTCTTTTATAGTAGCAATTTCAAAATGTGTTCACCAGCAGTTCTTTTAGTAAAGAAATAAAATATTTTGAACTGTAAACAGATAAAACTTAGGGAATTTTGATAAAACACATGAAAAATATGGCATCCAAACAGCAGTTTCCTCTATTTTTTAATGCCTAAATCTGTTGTGTGTATGAACAGTAACTGCAAATCCCTTCTAACTGCTATTAAAAAAAATGCACACCCCAATGCGAATGAGGAACCAAGACGATGGGGGCGGGGGGAGGGCAGGAAGGGGGGGCAGAGGCCTGCAGACTTGGGAGGGAGTCCTGACACCGGCCCACACCCCCTCCACCGGACCTGCCCCTGACCTCTGCTCCTTCTGCAGGGCCTCAGCATGCTGCTGGTTCTCATGATGCCACAGCTGCAGCTCGTTCTGCATGGCGTCCGCATCCTCCTGGAGGTAGTCCATGATTTTGCCCAGGGGCAGCGCACTCTTGCACAGCGTCTGGATGGACAGGCGGAGCTTTTCTATCTCTTTGGAAACGATGTCCTTCTCCTTCTTCCACGCTGACTCCAAGGCAAGGGACCTCTCCTACCATCAGTGGGAGAATATGGAAAGAAACATCCTCAGTCTTATGGAAGGAGGGGACAGGGAGGGGTTGCCAGTCCAATGCTAGCTTGTGGGTTCCATCCCCCGTGGGGATGTGTAAGAGAGGCCACCCATCAAAGTTTCTCTCCCGCTGCTCCTTCCCCACTTTCATCCTCTTTCTTCCCCTTCCTCTCTAAATTCATAAAACATATCCTCAGATGGGGATTTTTTAAAGTTCCTTGTTCTCATAAACTGAGAATGCCTATGTTCAAGTTACAACAGAAGAGCAGACACCTACTATCGAGTGTCCTGTTTACCCAGAAATATTCCAGCATCAAACTCCAGCACCTGTTAATTTTTCCACATACTCACAGAAAACATGAAGGCAGCGTTTAACAAATGATAAAGTGACACCTGCAGGCTGCGTCCCCGAAGCCTGAGGCTGCCCTCTGAGGTGACAGTTCTGGAGGGCACCTTGGCCTGTGGCTATCCCCTGCCTGTTCCGCTCCCACAGGACAAAGGGAACCGTATGCCCACACCCATGCACATCGGCCTCTTCTGCTCAACAGCACGTTAAGGGCCTCTTCTGCTCAACAGCATGTTGTCACTTGCACCCATATTTTACTCCTTTGCTCTGCTGAATGGCATTTCATTTTAGGACTACACGTGATTTATTCATCCTCCCCACGGCTGACTGACACATAGGTCATTCTTGGTCTGGGCTCTTACAAACCATGCAGCTCTGAACAGTCTCACACACATCCCAGCACACAAGGGCCCAGACATGCCATGTGTAGGGCCACTGGCTGTCAAAGGATTTGCCTGCCTCTAACCTTAGGACACAATGTCAAACAGTTCCCAAAGGGCTAACCCAATTGACATCAAATATGGTTCATGAAGCAGTATTGTACTTGTAAGCTCTGAGAGCTGCCGAGTCAGTGGCAGCTCTGCAGTGAGGGGTGCAGGCAGTCAGCACTGAGCCAGGGCCCTGGCCGCAGAGAGAAGCTGCCGCTCAGATCAGAACATTCATGGCCCCAAGCAACAACCTTTTAGATGCAGAGCCTGCGCACGAAGCAACTACAGACAGAAATCACATGAGCAGGAGAAACCACATGAACAGGTATGAGAGCTGTGCCACCTGTGGTTTTTTTCACTGCGCAGGATGGGCCCATCGGGCCTGGGGTGATGTCTGACCTCTGCGACTTACCGTCTATGTCATCTTGGACAAGATAACTTTTATGCTTTCGCTTCCTAACTAGAAAAGGGGGAAGACACCTGTCTCACAGATCACTGAGGATTCAATAGAGAGACATATGCAAGTCCTTAGTCATAACACGTGCTCTGTAAATGTCAGCTCTTGCTAGAATGACCATATTGGCCACATGAAGACTAACCAATTGGTAAGCTTCTCTCAGAGAAGAAAGGCAGGTAAGGGACCTCTCACAGCCGGTGCAGATCACTCGATGTTAACTACTCCTACACACAGTTCTGACAATGCAAAGGACCGAGGGACGGCCTTGGAAGTCTGGGTAAGGTCAGCATGGGGAGATGGGCATGAGACCAGGGGGCACTGTGGCTGAAGCAAAGGTTAGTGCACAGAACAGAGAAGACAACGTTCAGACCCGCCTTTCCCACCTACCTGAAAAATGGAATAATTTAACACTGACATTAACAAAGCAAGCGGCAACAGAGAAATGCAGAACTCAAATTCTCAACTAAAAGACTCCCTTCTCTACCTAAAGAAATCAAAGTAAGTCAAGAATATTACATTACTGGCCTAATACTGGGCATTTCAAACATTTTTATGAAAGGCTGTTCTCATATATTTATCTTCCAGATGAACTTAAGAATATTCTTAGCCAAGTTACAAACCTCTACTGAACATTTATTAGAATTACATTAAATTTACAAGTTAATTTCAGAGAAATGACATCTCTATAATATTGTGTTTCCCATCCAGGAGCACAATGTCTTGATTTTTTCTAGACCTTTCCTATTTTTTGGTAAAATTCCTTGGCTTCTCAATCCAATTCCTAGAAAAGTCCTGTTAAAAGCACCCACACAAGCCTTTTTGCTCTCCTGGTTCAAAATACCTTTCTACCCCAGTTCAGATGAGTTTTCATCGAAATGGGTCCTGAATCGTATACATGCCACTTATTTTTTAAGAGACAACACCCTTACTGGTGATATTATTTGGTTCAAGAATAATTTTTTGATTAAATGTAAGATAAGCAAGTCTCGTCTAATGAATGCTACAACTGACTTGCATTTTTTTTTATTGAAACATCTGACTCTTTAACTGATGTAGCAGCACAAATGAGGAAGAAATTGACAAAGAAAACAGATGGGACTGTTTTCTAATAGGGAACAGTTTTCAATCCTAAAATATATTCCACCTCACAATTAATTATATAATAAAATACATATGCTTTAGTAATTCCTAACCTTTACTTTTATTCTTCCAAAATAAACACAGAGTAAAAAGAAAAAAATTTGTTTTGTTAATATTCACCCAAGGATATTTTTCCCATAGCTTTTTAGAGAGTGGAGTGCGAAAGGGAGAGGGTAGAGAGAAGGGGGGGGGGAGAGATATGGAGAGAGAGAGAGAGAGAGAGAGAGAGAGAGAGAGAGATATGGAGAGAGAGAGAGAGCGTGATGCGAGAGAGGTCAGGCTAAGCTCCACCCAGCAGATTCTGTAGGGCTCACCCAGGCCATGGCCCTTCCTCACCATGGCCTCTCCTCACTGTGTCCCTGACCCTAGAACCCTCATGGGAAATGTCGGTTATGCCTCCTAACAAAGACTAGTCCTCAGTAGAGTAGTTTTCTTTACAGAGAGGAAGGGAGAGGGATAGAGTTAGAAACATCAATGAGAGAGAAACATCAATTAGCTGCCTCCTGCACACCCCCACTGGGGATCGAGCCTGCAACCAACCAAGGTACATGCCCTCGACTGGAATGGAACTCAGGACCTTTCAGTCCAAGGCCCAAGGCTCTATCCACTGCGCCAAACCAGTCAGTGCGCCAAACCAGTCAGGGCATAGTCCTCAGTAGTTTGAAGGACTTTGTCCTCAGACCTCTTCAAACTACTGAGGGCTAGTCTTCTGTTGCTGGACCCAAGGTCACAGCAGCTCCAGCTTCTGTAATGTGGGACCAAGTCCCTTCGGTTTTCCCGGAATGCTTTCCCGACCACCTGTACTTTCCCGAGCTTCACCACGTTACAGTCAGTCTGACTAAACCCAACCTCAGTTCCAGTTCTACCCACTGATTTTCCTCTTCACATATTCCTTAGTGTGTCACAGTTAAAATATATAAACACCATGTCTATACTACTTAGTAACTAAATTTACACCTACAGAGTTAGGCTGTCAATCAAACTGAAGATATTTTGCCCTAGCTGGTTTGGCTCAATGGATAGAGTGCTGTTGACCTTCGGACTAAAGGGTCCCAGATTAGAATCCAGTCACTTACCGGGGTTGTCGGTTCACCCCTCTCAGGTGCATAGGGGAGGCAACTAGTCAATGTGTCTCTTTCACATCAATGTTTCTCTCCTCCTCCTCCCCCCTCCCTTTCACTCTCCTAAAAAGCAATAGAAAACATATCCTCAGTTGAGGATTAACAACAACAAAAACAACCTTAAAACAAAAAAGAAAGTATGAAATTTACATTAAATTAGAATTGATATAACATGAAAAAAAAAAAAAAAAGCTAAAGAGAATTAAAAAACCCCTGAAAACTCAAAAGAGAGCAATCTTCTCCCAGTCCCAAAGTGAGTTAACTACCGTGTTTCCCCGAAAATAAGACATCCTCCAAAAATAAGACCTAGCACATGGAAAGATAAGACATCCCCTGAAAATAAGACCTAGCGCAACTTTGGGAGAAAAAATTAATATACCGTAAGACAATGTCTTATTTTCGGGGAAACAGGGTACCTTTGAAACCACTGGTTATTATTCCAAAACATCTTCATTTACAAAGTTTAAAACACAAGTATTTTTAAAGTATAAGAAACACTAATAAAAGTGCTTTTCTGGTTGTTTTTCAAAAGCTTTATAAATCTGAAGAAAAAAAAATGTTGGCATGAACTAATATCTTACTATTAGCAAAGTTTAATATTTCCTCTTGAAAAGAGAACAAATAAGTCAGGATAATGAAAAAATGCTCAAAGCAGTCTGATTCACATATTTATTTATATTTATTTTACAATATATTATTCAATCCATTAGTACACTAAGAAATGGCTTTTCTTCCAACAAAACTTCAAAGACAGGCTGGAGAGATGCCCAGATTACAAATATGTATTTCCTTAGCGTTTAAAAAAAGAAAAGGCTCCCTCCAAAAAAAGTAAAAAGTACTAAGACTAAGGGCACACTATAACTTATATGTGAAAAACCCGGATTGCAGGTTTGATCCCCAGAGAAAACAACTAGTATTTGAATTTGTTGTGGTGTTGTTGATCCTCGCTCGAGAATATTTTTCCATTGATTTTTAGAGAGAGTGGTAGGGAAGGGGAGGAGAGAGAGAGAAACATCAATGTCAGAGAGACACATCAATTGGTTGCCTCCAGCATGTACCCCTACTGGGGCTAGGGATTGAACCTGCAATCCGGGTATGTGCCCTTGACTGGAATCAAAACCGAGACCCTTCAGAGTACGGGGCAATGCTCTAACCACTAAGGACACCACCCAGGACTAGTATTTGAATTTTTAGATAGCAGATAGGAAAGTAATATTATAATTAATTTGTAAAATCAATAATAACAGGCAGCTACAGCCCACGGGCATTGAGTACATTACAATTACCTCCCTAGGAAGTCAACAGGGTGTACTGAAGCCTGGCCCCAAGGTGTAGAAGGTAGAACCACTATGGGAGCACTCTAAAGCTTCTACAAACACTGACCACAGCCAGGCCAACAAGAAAGGCTCACTTCCCAATAAGCAGTATCATGTAGACCATATTCACTGAATGTGCAATTATGTTAAGTACTATCAATAAAAAGACTTTTTAGCTCTGGGTGTGTGGCTCAGTTAACTGGAGCATCATCCAATACATCAAAAGGTCTCAGGTTCAATTCCCAGTCAGGGCACATGCCCGGATTGCAGGTTTGATCCCCAGCCCTGATCAAGGCATGTTCGGGAGGCAACCAATCAATGTTTCTCTCTCCCCCCACCCCTTTCACTTCTCTCTAAAAAAAAAAAATATCAATGAACATGTTCTTGGGTGAGAATTTAAAAAGAAAAAAGACATTTAAAAAAGCCTTACATTAAAAAACAAAAAACAAAAAAAGCCTTACATTTAAAAGCTAAAGAACAAACTCCTAGGTAGCTTACATGTCTAGAAGAAATAACTGCACAAAGGACTTCATATTAAAATGTAAGAAAATTTAATATTTAATATTAATTTATTATTTAAGAAATTTAAAATTCAAGGCTAAAGCATGCTTAAAGAGAAATGTATAGTGAATATGTTAATTTTTAAAATGACAAAAAACTAAAAATAAATGAGCTAAGTTTTACACAAGAGGTTAGAAAAAGTAAACACCTAAAGAATTTAAAAGGGCCTTAACTGGTTTAGCACAATGGATAGAGCATGGGCCTGCCAACTGAAGGGTCCTGGGTTTTATTCCAGTCAAGGGCACATGCTGAGGTTGCGAGCTTGATCCCCAGTAAGGGGCATGCAGGAGGCAGCCGATCAATGATTCTCTTCACTGATGTTTCTATCTCTCCCTCTCCCTTCCTTTCTGAAATCAATAAAAATTTATATAAAAAAAAAATTAAAAAGAAAAAGAGCAGAAATCACTGAAAACAACACAAAAGTGAGTATCTACAAAACCAAAGTTGATTCTTTGCTAGGAAGTGCCTACTTCAGTAGTTTTTCAAAAGTCTCAAGGGAAAAAAAAAAAGATGACATTTCCAGAAGGAAAGAAAAACTTTAACTATAGATATATTTTTAAATCATAAAGTATACTTCAGACATGTTCTTGCCATGACTTTGTAAAGCAAGAATGAAACGAACAATTTCCTGGAGAAACACTGTGGAGATTGCTGGTCCACCCCATTTCTGACTTCTGAGAAGCTTCCTGCCACTGAGAGCAGCCACATGTGGCAGACGTGCTAGTTCCAGAACTCCTCGGCCCCAGCCAGGCAGGCAGCCTCCTCCATTTAACCCCTGTGCCTTGCAAATATTATCACTTCTGAGAGTGCCAGGCAGTGAGGACACCTGGCAAGTTTTAGTTTATGTTAATGGAGCCCTTGATTGTTAGCCAAGCAAACTGATGCCTGCAATAAAAATGTCACTTCATGGTTCCCTCAGTGACAAAAATGTGGTCAACATAACGTAAGTGGAAATGGTGTGCACAACTTCCAATAAATAGACTGTGCCCTTCTCCTACTTCCCTTTCCTCCTTCCTTCTGACTGGAACTCAATCCTGAAGGCTGGAACTGGGCAGCCATCTGGGCCCAGAAGGTGCCCTGAGGCATGGAGGTCAGGAGGAAAGAGATGGAAGGCATCTGGATCACTGCCACTCCAGGCTCTGGCGCATGAACTAAAGCACTTTTTACCTCATGTAAGCCACTACTGTTCCAGATCTTTCCTTCACTCAAGGTCAACTTGATCCTGATTCAAATACTAACTACCAAAAGAAACTAAAAAGGAAATAGGAAAATGGAATCATCCACTAAAGAAGCTGACTTGGTAAAACGGACAAAAAGGACCAGTTTGAGAGAAGAGGGCAGCCAGCCCTCAACAGCACTGAGTGAGAGGAGGAGGAACCAGCAACTGGATGGAAAGACCCTTAGCCATAGAAGAAATGCAAAGTAAGACAACAAATTACAAAGGCTGACCACTCCAGTCCTGGCCTGGAGGCAGACCCTCCACTGGGCTGGGGACACAGTGAGGGATGGCAGGACAATGCCTGGCCTGTGGAAAGGACTCTTGAGAGACTGAAATCCCACGGCCACTCACAGCGAGCCCGAACGTTGGGCCTCCCTCAGTGGAGCAAACAGTGCTCTTATGTGAGCCTCGGGCAGCATGTTTCTCCTGTGAGCATCTACAGGCTCCCCGGTGCTCCTCTCACTGCATGGCTTTCATAGGCTATTTCAGGCCACATCTTCATGACAAACCAGTCATGGTAAGCAGAATTATCTAAAACAACCATTAAATTAACGTGTGTGTATGTGTAAAACAAGGAAATTACGGCTGCTGATACAACGAACTTTCTAAGAAATTGCTTTCTGTAAAACACACACACAATAAATACTTAATTGTTATTTTTCAAACGAATGTAACAGAAACCTGGACTTGACATTTGAGGCACACTGCCTGGCCTGCAGGCATTCACCCCAGGGTCACATGCCTAAGGGGCAGTGGCCAGCAGGAGGCCGTGGGTCCCCACAAAGTCTCATCTCACACTGTGAGAAAGACTGCTGGGAGGCATGATACAGGAGCCTGTATTTAAAAACCAGACGTGAAAGCTCCCCTAGCCTCTCAATCAGTCGGTGCCAGGCGGCCAGCTCCCAACTCGGACAGCAGAGAAGGGATGGACGAGGCAGGAAGAGGAGGGCCACAGAGTCAGAGCAGAGCAGGCCATGGCCCTTGACTCCTGAGCCCCAAGGCGAGGCTGCCGCCCACCCAGGGGAGCACTGACCCAGGGTCCAGGGAAGTGACAGCCACTGCAAGAGCCCGCAGTGTCTTTCCTCTCCACTGAGGGAGAGGGCGCTTTTCTACGTACAAACAGACATTACTGTATAACCACATTCAAAAGGTGCTTCTAGTTTTTCCAAGTAAACGAATGAAATAGGCACTAAAATGCTGATATTTACAAGATATTCCAATACCTTCTCTCCAGGTCTGGGTGACAGCTGCAGCTTCTCATAATCTTTCTTTGTCTCCAGAATCTTTTTGACCAGTCCTCCTGTTGAAAAGCAGCAGCTTATGCTCCAGTTGTTCTCTGCCCTTTGAAGCTACTCTACTCTGAATGGGCAGAGGGGTGGCAAGAACACCCAAGTCCTTCTTCTTCTCCTTCTACACTGAACACAGCTTCAATCACCTTATTCGATAAAGTCTGCATCAGACTGATACAACAGCTGGTGGTGGAAATTAACTCTACAGCTTCATAGTGTTTCAAAGAAATCAGCTCCTTGAAAGGGAACATGCCGGGTTGCAGGCTCAATCCCCAGTAGGTGGTGTGCAGGAGGCAGCTCTAACACATCGATGTTTCTCTCTCTCAAATCAATACAAACATATTTTACATTTAAAAAACCTAAATCTGATTAACTCTCTAGAACTAAGTTATAACAATGTGGAAAAGGGCATAATAGAGGGTATAATAAGCAACACCTATATGTGAGAAACTCAGACAACTGGTTTCTTCAACAAATACATCATGAGGGAAAAGGGTGGGAGGACCCCAAGTTAAGTGAGACTTCAGTCGCCCTAACAGGTTTGACTCAGTGGTTAGAGCATCGGCCAGTGGACTGAAGGGTCCCAGGTTCGATTCCGGTCAAGGGCATGTACCTTGGTTGTGGGCACATCCCCAGTAGGGGATGTGCAGGAGGGAGCTGGTCGATGTTTCTCTCTCATCGATGTTTCTAACTTTCTATCCCTCTCCCTTCCTCTCTATAAATCAATATATATATATATATATATATATATATATATATATATATATATTTTTTTTTTTTTTTTATTTTTTTTATTTTTTTTTTTTTTTAAGAGAGAGACTTCAGTCAGATCAATTGTAATGCAGGGACCTTATCTGGACTGCCAAACTGAAAAATACACAAAACTGGAAAAAGGGGCATGGATGATATTATGTAATTTTTTTTGTCAATATGGCAATGAATTTATGGGGTTTTTGTTGTTGTTGTTGTTGTTGTTGTTGTTTTAAAGAGCCCTTATCTTTTAGCGCTACATACAGTGTGTTTCCCGAAGAACTGATGCCTGGAACTTGCAAAGGGCCTGGGGAGTGGGGTTGGGGTAGAGGCTGAAATAAAACAAGATGAGCCTCACTGTGGGAGCTGTGTGACAGGGTCAGGGGTCATTAGCCTATTCTCTGCCTCATAGATGTATGAAATAAAGCAGATAAATTACAGAACTGTCCACCTGGCAATGACCCTGGAGGTCATGCAATTCCAAATGTAACCATACGGATAAGAAAAGGAGTCACCTACGAAATAGCTCACACCTGATCTCCAGGGTCTGGAGTGCCCCTTGGGTCCCAAGGATGGGAGCAGCATCCATCATCTCCCAGAATGAAAAGTACCAACCTCAGAGGGGCCCGTGCCCAGGGAGCCCTATCTACTGCTGGTCGGACTCCTGCGTCTGACCCTCCAACCCACACCAACACCAGCACTCACCGTGCTTCTCATCTTCCTCCAATTCCACTGCGTGTACCTGAGCAAGAAAGAAAGGAGAAAAATGAGATTCGGGTTTGTTGAATCCTCAAAATCCTACCTTCAGGGATCTCAGCAGAGGAATGGCGAAATTAGGGTAGAAAACTAACTGAAAAATTAGAGGGAAGTTCTGTCTGCATAAAACTGAACGCTGGAGTGAAAGTGCCATTACAAAACGCCCAGCCATGGCACTAACCATTTCGAGTTCTGAGACCTCAGAGAGCGGGGGCGCAGCCTCCACCACGAACTGGTCGTCCTCTTCGTTCTCAGAGTTCTGCAAATCGACAATCACATTGGAGACCGTCTGACCACTTCCTGTCCTGAATACAAAGAAATCAGACTAAATTAGAAATCTTGTCGGTGATGTTTTCATCCACCCTGTGCATCTGGAACTGAATGCGAGGTTAGTGAGAGCAGCTCAGGACAGGGGCCTATCGCTCTCTGTGGGTAGCTGCCTGTCCACTGTAGAATGGTTAGCAGCAGCCATGGCCCCAAACCCCCCAACTGGATGCCAAGAATTTTGCCTCCCCTCCTCTCCAGTCATGATGCCACTGCAGACCTGGCCCCAATGTCCCCATCATCCCCGGGGGAGGGTGGTGCCTGGATGAGAACCTCTGTACAGCCTCCTATCTTGGAGATCTGCTTGCCCTCCTCCCTCCTCTCACCTCCTGCTCCTCTTCCCCAGACGCCTGGCGAATGAGGAAAACTGAGCGTCAGAGAGAACTCACCTCCCAGAATCTCACCCACATATTAACTCTCCACGTCCCCTTGCCCACTCAGGGATTCTGTTCCAACACCCCGGGCCTGCTTCCCCACATCACCAAATCCACCCCCACAGGATCATCCTGCCACCCAAAAATGTGCTCATTCTCTCATCTTAAAAACAAACTAGTCACTTCCCTCGGCCCTGCCTTCCTTCCCACTCCCTACCACCCTTCCTTTGCTCCTCTTGGTCTCTTTGCAACAAAACTTGAGTAAATGTCTACACCTGCCGTTTCCAAGTCCAACCTCCTGCTCTATCTGAAACACTTACCCACCCTGTTGACTTTTCTACCTACGGATCCCACTGCATCCACTGGCAGGTTGTGAACTTACAAAAGCCCTATCTGGCACGGGCCTTTACATTGTTTACGATTTGCTCATAACCTTTGTTTTTTATTTCTGTGCAATTAAGCCTTTAAGTCTTTTTTCCTATTTTTCCCCTCATTGTTTTTATGCTTAGAAAATCCTCTATCCAGAGGTCAGAGAAATGCACTGGAACATCTTCCCCACATTTTGTAAAGGTGTAATTGTGGGAGTGCCTGTGTTCTCTCTCTCACTGATTTGAAAAGTGAGGCCATGTGTGGTTTCAGGTGAGGGTCTAACCCATTTTTTCTTTTTCTCAACAGCAAGTTTTCCCAGCACCACCCACTCCACCCTTTCCCCTGCAGCATGTACCCGATTCCATTATCCTAAGGTCACACACACTGGGAGAAGCCCCTGCCCTCCTGTGAGAGCGCCTCACCTGTCCGCTGTTAACACCTCCGCACTGTCTTGTCGTTTCACTCGGGGAGGCGCTGGCCTGGCACTCCCAGGCCGAGGAATTCTTCTAAACCCAGACAGTGGAAAACCAAAACAGGGGTATAAACACTCCCACATTTCAAGTAGACAACAGAAAACCCAGGTCAGCTCAATACTCACTTCCAGCCACCATCTGCCTCCTAGTCTGCACATACTCTCAGAACATTAAAAAACGCCATTAACCTAAAAGTACCCATCTTTTAATCTTATATTTTCATTAATTTTAAGGTACAAAAATAACTATCAGTAATCAAAACATGACATAATTTAGCCATAATTATGCATTCCCCTAAATCTCTAAAATGTTATATGTGTAATTAGTTGTCACCCAGGGACAGGAAGACTAAATAAAATACACAGTTTTTGCTTCTTAGTTCAAATATTTCCTCAGAATTAAGCTCAAGCATTACATGAACTTCGGGAGATAAAAAGAGAGGAGCGTGTCAGCTCCGCGTGGGGGGAGCACGGACCTGGCGCCAGACGGGAGCTCGGGGGGGACCTCAGGGTTCTCAGGCACCTCTGACTTCTCCTGGCCGACGGGTCCCACTTCTCCTTCTGATGGGACGGCATCCCAGTCAGCAGTTTGCAAAGGAAGGAACAGAAACAACGGATACATACTGGAGAAGACAGTAATCAAGTAATTGCAAATATAAATGAGCTTTCTCATCCATCATTCTGCTGAAGATAAAACAGACACCTAGCATCTAACTCTGGTGAAGACCAGGGAAATGGACTCCATCCAGCCCTGGCTCAACTCCTCCAGAAACAGAACTAAAAAGGTAGGTCGATCAATTCAGCACTTTAACTTAAAGGAAATACAACCAAAAGAAATGGGCACATTAAGTAACACATGTGCCAGGAGGCTCCCGTCACCACTAGTGACTAACAACAGGCAATCTGGTAAATACGGCATCGCCACAAGCGAGACCTTTCAGTGTAAACAGTGCCTGTCAATGTAAACATTTTATTAATACATGTAACTAGCAGAGTACAGTGATACATCTAATAATTGCATGTCCATACATGGGGTCCTAGAAGGTCTTCATTTGAGTTGTGAGCAGTGAAATTACTAGTGCTTTTCATTTTAAAAATTTTCTATTTTGAGTATGCCATATTAGATTTATAATCTGAACAAAACTGTCTTCACTTTGATAAAAATGATTTAATCTGTAAGTAACAAATCCAAACTATTAAGACAATTATAATTACTCCACTATTTAAAATAAAAGTGAAAATCCATCAGAATTTGAATTTTGAAAATATACTTTATAATCTGGAAAGAAATCCTTTGAAATGTGTGTGTGTGTGTGTGTGTGTGTGTGTGTGTGTATATATATATATATATATATATATATATATATATATATATATTTTTTTTTTTTTTTTTTCCCCTCCCAGAGGGAAAGGGAGAGGGAGAAACAGAAATATCAGTGATGAGAGAATCATTGATTGGCTGCTTCCTTTACACCCCCTACTGGGGATCGAGCCTGAATGTGCCCTTGACTTAAATCAAACCCGGAACCCTTCAGTCTACAGGCTGACGCTCTATCCACTCAACAAAACAGGCTAGGGCTTGAAATGTATTTTTGACACATAAACTATGCAGATTAAATCTTAAATTGGGATAGTTTTATTAACACACCTATAAGCATGTCTGCATCTGTACACGTGTGCACACAATTCATACAGACTCACTCAGCACCATTCCTTACCTGGAACATTAGGGGAATCACCTGAAAAAAAGAAAAAGCACACATCAGAAACTCACTTTTGTGTTAGTAAATCTCGGAATACAAAATGAGCAGAATAGTATTAGAGAAAAATACATAATTCGGATTTTATTAGGGGGAAATGGTCATTTCTTTAAAACTTCTTTTCTAGTCACTGTCACTGTCTTACTTTCAAAGGTAGAAAAACAAAGAACAAAGAAAACTATGACTCATAACATGTTATAACAGGAAACTGGTATGAAGAAAGTGTGTCATAGAGACAATGAAACAGGCCGGACAAACACTGACTGACTCCGAATGTGCGGGTGCAGGCCATTCCTCGAGGGAACCACCGGCCACGGTTAGGACTCCGGTGAGACCAAACAACCAGCCTTCCATAACTGGTCAGTCAGGACTTTTCCATCAGCTCCTAAAGTAGAAGAAACTTTCTCAAGCTCCACAGGAGCCAACCTTTGCACTTGTCACCAGGGTCCTTATTCTTCAAGTGCTGCTCAGGGCACAGGTACCTGAGCAGAAGCACTGTAGGGTGGGTGGGCTCAACCCACAGGTGGGTCGTCCTTTTTTGTGTAACTCTCAGAATGCTTGAACACATGTGCAGAAGAGCTGACACTGCACGCCCCTGGGTCACTGGGAGGACCCACATGCCAACGCAGGGTGAAGAGCACTCTCGGTCCCCTGGTCTGTCCACCCGCAGGAGAACTTGACTCTCCACTGACTATGGAACACCACACAGAGAGCCACAGCAACGGTGCCTAGGGGCAATGGGAGGCCCCACAGGGTGACAGCAGAGGACAGGCCTGGTGTCCGGAGGGGGCCTGAGGAACCGGAGGGACAGTTAATAGGGGCCTGGAGAATGTGGTCTAGATGACACCAAGGTGAGAACATGCACATGGCAATTTCAGTCCCCATGACCTCAATGTGACAAAGCCACTCTGAAAGCATCATGGCTTCCTGCTGCTAAACTCCTACACGGCCATGACACCTAGTGGGAGTGGGTCCCGATGCTCCTGTCCCCCACATGGGCCTCTGTGCTTTGAGGCTCCTGGTGGCCAGCCTGCCTGCCTCCTCCTGCCCAAAGGCTGTCCCCAACCCAGTGGCAAAGTCCCTTGCAGCTCTGGTGCACACCGCTGTCCTCAGTCCGCTTTGTGCACACTAACATACTCACTGCCCAGGGCCTGACACACTAGGCCTCCAACAGGTGTTTTCTGTTTGAGCAAATGGACAAACATCAGCCGCACCTGGCCACACTGCCGCCCAGCCCCAGCAGCCCCAGGCCACCCAGCACCCGGCCCGCACAGCCTGCTTCTGGGGCATGACACTCGAGGAGGCCCTGGCACTCCCCTGACCTGTTAGACACTCTAGGCCTTAGAAGACAAATGCAGAATGTGCATTTCACAACTTTTTTTAAAATGCTAAGAAAACTATGCCAAAAGCAGAGACTAATCAGGTACAACCTAAGACACTGAAAGAACATTAAAGACAAAAAACCATGGTCATGACAGTGTTGTGAGCTGATGAAAGTCTTCTTTGAACATGAATTCAGTGGAGTGTGCTCAGTCTGTGAGAGGCCCAGCAGTGGCTAAGGCTGGCTTCAGGATCATTCCTACACTCCAGGACTCTGCACTTGACCTTTCTCCGAAAAAAACTCCAAGAACACGGGACAGGCTGGTGCTATCCATCAATGACTAGAATATTCCACTCTCATTTATGCAGAGGAGAAAGGGAGTAAGTGGCCATGTCCAGGCCTGGCGTATGAAGGTAAAGGACAGGGCCCCGTGTGGGCCAGAGACCCAAGGGGACCCTATAGCTCTGACGGGACCCCAAGAAGAAAGGTGCCCACAAGAAGCACGGCATCAGGGGACTCAGTTCCCCAGGAAAGGAGTGAAAGAGCCATCCTTACCTTTCTGCTTCACTGCTGGTTCTGGCTCGGGGTTGTCCCTCCACAGACTAGATGGGTTACCATCTGAAACACTAGCTGAGTTAGTATTAGCTTCTGTCGGTCCTGATATGAAACAGTTTGAAACGGGTAGTTAAGACTGTGCACTGCGGGCTGGTGGCTTTACCACAGAGCCCACTAGGTGACCCGCATTGTATAGTGGACACACCAAAGGCGATCCCCAGGAGGAGCATTTGAGATCTTGCTCCCAGGAATATGTCCTCATTTTGGCACAAATAAACTATCATAAAAATTAAAAAAAAAAAAAAAAAAAAAAAAAAAAAAGGTCCCCAGTTGTGGCTCCAGGGTCCAGAGGGAAGGAAGGGTGCACTGTGAGCAGGGCCCACTCAGCCCAGGCGGGGGCCTGGCCCCCCTCCTCCATTTCTAGAAGCGCCTCCCACTACTGCCAGGCCTGGGACTTAAGAAGCTGCAAATAGGCAGTAATCTCAGGAAAACAAGAGGAAAAGAAAAATATTTTTGGCATGGTGTACAGACCTAGATATCTTAAACGCTCCCAAATATCTGCCTACCAATTAATCACTAATGTGCCGATGTTTATAAAATTAGAAAAAAAATCCAATATCTGAGAAATGTTTTTCCTGTTTTAAAAAAAAAGGGGGGGGGGGACAGAGAGGTACAGGAGGGACAGATTTTTAATTGTGGCAGGATCCTGGGCTGGAAAGAGACCACTAAAGGACCCAACTGTCTTAGAAGAAACTGGGAGACAAAAAATAAAATTAAAAAATGTTCCCTTTCCTGAAACACATCTTATAATTTCTCAAAAGTATTTAAAAAAATGGTTTATGTCAACCTGCCATTAACTACCAAAGAACTGTTTTATTTTATGTAACAGAAGGACATAAATAGATGACATAATTTTCTAATGTGATTTTTTAAAAATCTTTAAAATGATACAAACAATCTGATTCAAGTGCTCAATTACTTATGATATCTTATAGAGGGAAGACAAGGAAGTAATATGAAATATTAACTTCTAGACAAACATAAGTATCAGCTTGGCAGCTATAGATTATCAATTTTAGAAGAAAACACCCCAATAATTTTGTTACATTTTATTTTAAAGTATTAAATATTTTCTATATTCTACAAAACCCACTAGCACAATAAGTAAATTACAAATGTACTATCTTTATTCTGTAGTTTAAGGAGATTAGTGACACTTTGCACAATTTTATCATTTTAAAGTTCTGGTTATTTTCTTGAGTAAGCTTCAAATTTACACAAATAGAATAGAGAAACAGAATATATATTCACTAATTTTACAACTAATTCTTAATCACAGAGGGAAGGTTAACCAGTTTGCCAAATAACACTCAAAGAAATAATACACTCATATTAAAATTACTATGACCCGGAAAGGGGAAAAAAGGCGCACTAGCGCCATCTGTTGTCTAAACTTCCAGGAACCAAGGAACCTCGCAGGTCAGGTGTTGACTGGTCATCATGATCTCTCAAGTTCTGACACAGCTTGAGCAGCTGCCAGAGAGTCCAACGAGATCCCGGTGCACCCAACGGGAAACAAGGTAAAGAGCACAGTGCACCTGCATCAAGGTGAAGGGGAAGCAAAACGCTCTGCCCAATCCAAGCAGGCCTTCAGGTTTAACAGAAATATGGGTGGTGGGGAGTAAAGTGGTATCATAAGTTAAATGACAACACAAAGAAACAACCAGACAAATCCAGAAGTGAACATCTACAACACAAATAACCTAATCTCTCCAAAAATGTGCCGGGATAAAAGGGCGGAGGAGGGGGGATATTCCAAATTCAAAGTAAAGAGGCAAAAATTATAATAAAAATATAGTGTATTAATCTTAACTGAGTCCTGGTTTTAAAAACTTAAGAATTTTTTTGAGACAATCAGAATACAGCCTGGGTTTTTTAAGAGTACCGGGGTTCAGATGGTAAGAGAATTTTGTTAGGTGCAACAATAATTTTGTGGCTATGTAGGAGTTTGTCTCTTTTATTTTTTTTATTTTTTGAGCTGCATGCTGAAATATTTAAAGGGTAAACTGTAGATGTAACTGTTAGGATGTTTTCAATATACTGTGAAATAGTTCATAAAAATACATAGCTATATAAGATCTGGAAACAGCCGAACCCGGTTTGGCTCAGCGGTAGAGCGTCGGCCTGTGGACTGAAAGGTCCCAGGTTCGATTCCGGTCAAGGGCATGTATGTTGGTTGCGGGCACAACCCCAGTAGGAGGTGTGCAAGAGGCAAGCTGGTTGATGTTTCTCATCGACGTTTCTAGCTCTCTATCTCTCTCCCTTCCTCTCTGTAAAAAATCAATAAAATATATTTAAAAAAAAAAAAAAAAAAAGATCTGGAAACAGCCCAAGTGCCCATCAGTAGATGAGTGGGGAAAAAAGCTATGGTGCATTTATACCATGGAATACTATGCAGCAATAAAAAAGAATATCTTATCCTTTGAGATAGCATAGAGGAATCTGGAGAGTATCATGCTAAGTGAAATAAGTCAGTCAGAGAAAGAAAAGTATCATATGATCTTACTCATACGTTGAGTCTAAGTAACAAAATAAATTGATGAATGGAGTGGATCCAGAGCATGGAAGCATGGAACAGAGTGTTGAACAAAATGAGGCCAAGCATAGGGGAGGGAGAGAAATCTGGGTGGGGGAGTGGGGAGGGAGGCTGGAGGAAGTCAATGGGGGAGGACGAGAGACATCTGTAATAATTTCAGCAATAAAGAATTAAAATAAAGTAAAATTACGCAGCTATTAAAGAAGCAAACATGACAAAATGTCATCACCGCTGGTTCTAGGTGAGAGGTATATGGGTCTTAATTATACACACACACACACACACACACACACACACACACATATATATATATATATATAAATATTATATTATTGATTTTTTACAGAGAGGAAGAGAGAGGGATAAAGAGTTGGAAACATCAATGAGAGACAATCATCGATCAGCTGCCTCCTGCACACCCTCTACTGGGGATGTGCCCGCAACCAAAGTACGTGCCCTTGACCGGAATCGAACCTGGGACCTTTCAGTCCGCAGGCTGACGCTCCATCCACTGAGCCAAACTGGTTTTGGCAGGGTCTTAATTATTCTAATCTCTACTTTCTGTATCTTTCACAATAAGAAATTTGTAAAAATTAAATGAGGTTCTCGAGCAAAGTAAAGACATGGATGGCTTTCTATTCCGGGAAAGCTGGGACTGTCAAACCACAGTAAAAAGAACAGGCTTATCAGGCAGCTTGCACCACAGTATCAAGTAGGAGAAATAGTTCATATTTTAAAAATTAAATGGATAAATTCCTTGCAGAAGTCTTCAATCCACCTGAAAAAGCAAATGATAACAATAAAACCACGAACTCTCCTGCTGCCCCTGACAACACAAAGCCAGCCACCTGGCATTGGACACAGGGCCTAGGTGGGTAGGCGCAGCATGGGCACAGAGCTCTCTGTAAACTCAAGTGTGTGTAAGGAGCAGAGTGGTATGGCATGCCTGTGGCAGGCCAGCCACCTTGTGGATATCATCTCATTCAATGAAAGGAGGACCATGGGCTTGCAGGGGGTAGGGGGTGGAATTCTTCCCAAGGTCTGGGACTACACTGGCCACTCCGTGCCCCACTCCTCTCCTTTGGCCCAGGGCCTGCCTGGGAGCTCCCTCCTGGGACCCTGCCTACCAGCTGAGAGAAGCTCCCGCAAAGATGACATAAATGCACCACCCCAAGAAGCAACGGCACTGCAGCATGGGGGCCCTTTGTGAGAGTGTTTTCATTGTGAGAAGTCGTCCTGCTCCAGTTCAGTGCCCTTTATCTCAGTCAGCCCGCATGCTGGAGACCCAGATAAGCCACACAGAGCTGACCCACTTGCAACACACAGCCAAGGCCACCTCACAGTGGCTGGGGACCCACTGGAGTAGGGCTGCAGACACACCACTTTCAGAAATGTAGTTCTTAAGAGAAACACATGGTAGGAAAGACATGCCTATCATTCTGCTAGCCACAGGCATAAAATTTTTAAAATCAGAGATATAAGGTAGTTCAGCCTAAAAAATTTTTATTTTTCCTTACTGACAGATTTATACTCTTTCTTCCCTTCAGTTACACTAAAGAATTCTAGTATTTTTGAAGAATTTAGTTTAACATCACAGAAGGCTACAATTACTGGTATTAAATTAAGATCATCCCATTTGAATTCCAAATTCATACATCTAATGGCTCCTTATCAGTAGGTGAGGATGTGTGCCCTCGTCACACTGCAGACCTCAAACAGAAAAAGAAAGGCAAGCCACAGAAAAGCTCCCCACGTGCCCACAGCAAGCACTTCCCAGTCTTCCCTGTGGGCATCTTCTAGAAGAGAGCGGAGAAAGATGGAAAACTGGAAGATGATTTCTCTAACACCCACATCATTTTGTAAATCCCAACAGCAAGATGAAGACAGCATTTTGGTTTAGACCAGCGGTTCCCAACCTTTTTTGGTTCTGCCCCACCTAAGCATCTTTAAATTTCTGATACCCCCCGCCCTGTGACATATAATTATTCAAAAAGTGAACTCCTATTCATATGGGGGAAGCCTGAAAGGCCATTAACGTGGTCGAAGCAAGCTTCCAAAGGACATGGCACCCATGAAAGAGAAAAGTGAAAGAACGAAAGTACACTTGAAGTACTGAGTAAGAAATCACTAAGAAACTGTTAAAAAATAGTAATAATATGAAGTGATATGAAAAAATAGCAAATATTCAAAACATACAATAGAGAACTGAAATGCACAAATATGTCACAATATATATTAATATACTGTACATGAGACCCCCTAGAACCATAAGAAATGCAAAAAATCCACCGTTAATAACTCATTTTTTTAATGACCCCCCCCCCCTTAAAAAGCAAATTGCCCCCCTGCAAGGCATGTGTCCCACATTGTAAACCACTGGTTTAGATGCAAAAATAACTTGTACTGCCCTGGCCAGTGTTCCTCTGTGGTTAGAGCATTGGGCTGTGCACCAAAGGGTCTCAGGTTCAATTCTTGGTCAAGGGCATGTACTTGGGTTGCAGGTTCAATCCCAGGCCCTGGTCAGGGCGCATGTGGGAGACAACCAATTGATGTGTCTCTCTTGCATCAATGTTCCTTTCTCTCTCTCTTTCTCCCCCTCCCTCCCTCTCTTCCACTCTAACAGAATCAATGGGAGCCCTGCTTGCATATCTCAGTGGTTCAGCTTCTACCTATGAACAAGAAGGTCACAGTTCAATTCCCAGTCATGATACATGCCCAAATTGTGGGCTTGATCCCCAGTAGGGGACATGCAGAAAGGAGCCAATAAATGATTCTCTCCATCATTGATGTTTCTATTTCTCTCTGAAAATCAATAAAAAAATATTTTTTAAATCAATGGAGAAAATATCCTTAGGTGAGGATTAACAACCTTAAAAAAAAATAAGTTGTAGCCCTAACCGGTTAGGCTCAGTGGATAGAGCATCAGCCTGCGGACTCAAGGGTCCCAGGTTCGATTCTGGTCAAGGGCATGTACCTTGTTTGTGGGCACATCCCCAGTAGGGAGTGTGAACGAGGCAGCTGATTGATGTTACTCTCTCATCAATATTTCTAACTCTTTATCCTTCTCCCTTCCTCTCTGTAAAAAAATCAATAAAATGTATTTTTTTTAAATAATGAGTTGTACAAAAAAAGAGCATGGAATGGTTAACTTAAGAGCTGTTATTCATCTTTATCATGTAACACAGCAAGTTAAAGTAAATACAATATCAACTCATTTCTGACCTTTAAGACATTATAATGAACACCAAAGTGGTTAGAATAAAAATAATCTCTACTAATAGAAGAGTAACAGGAGTTCCGCACCACCTCAGCTGCTCCAGGCCTCTGGGCAGCGTGGGAAGGCAGAAGGCAGCTCAGACCGGAGCGGAAAGGAGGCTCAGGCCGGAGGAAAAGCAGTGCCAGCAGCCAGGGGAAGGAAGGCCCATTCTTACACGAATCTTTGTGGATCAAGCCTCTAGTCTATACTAATAAAAGAGTAATATGCTAATTAGACTGGACATCTTCTGAACATCCTTCTGGACAAAGCCACAGTGTGGGAGTCGAGATAGAGGCAGTTAGGGGTGATTAGATGGCCAGGGGAGGGCAGTTAGGGGCAATCAGGCTGGCAAGGGAGGACAGTCAGAGGGTAACCAGGCTGGCAGGGGTGCAGTCTGGCAGGCAGAGGCAGTTAGCAGTGATCAGGCAGGCAGGCAGGCGAGTGGTTAGTAGCCATGGTCCCAGATTGCAAGAGGGATGTTTGATTGCAGATTTAGGACCAATACCTCCTCAGAGGTCCTCCCTGCCTGCACACCGCCCAACCTTACCCACTCCTCCTAGCTTCACTTTCCTTCAAGTCTCCCAGCTAACTAACATGAATGTGTGCATGCTGCGTTCTCCCAGCTACCTGTCTTCTCCCTCTAGACCACTGTCCACAGAAATTTGCAGAACGAAGAAACGAAGGCTCCAATGCACACACTCAGCCTAGGACTGACTCATGGCAGGAAATCCTTGCAGCACTGCAACTCTGGAAGGCAGGATCCATGCTGAATACCCACCAAGCTCTACCTGGTCAATAATAATAGGTGGCTAAGGGGCCGGCTCTCAAACATCCTGCACAGCCTGTCGGGCAGGGCAGCCCAGGTTTCCCATGCTCCTTCTTAGCTTTACTGCAGGATGGGTATGTTCTTTCTCAGAAGAAAGACTAGGTTCACTTGTTCTACAGCCCCTTCTTCCTAACATGAAATTGCACAATGAAAATATGTACTAAACTGAATTTGTATTGTTGCAGTTATCAAATGAAATTTAAATGCATTCACCAACTCAAAGTGACTAGTTGTGCTATAATGCACTATTTAAGAACAGGCAAAAGTTATCTTCTCATGCAGAATGTTTTCTGGATTCTAGATGGGTTCTAGAATGGCTTTACGATTCTGTATGTCCAACAGCATAATACCTCACACTCCAGTACATACAGGCTTATCCCTCGAGCTGAACAGAGTTCCTCGGCCTCATGCCCTTTTCCCGATTCTCCCATGCTAACGAGCCAGTGTCAGGGTGCAGTGCCCGCTTTGCTGGGTGAGGATCCACATGAGGTCAGTGCCCCATCTAGCAGGCAAGGAAGAAAAGAGTCCATCAATTTGTTGACAGCTCAGTAATCCCAAAGTTTGCAAATCTCCAACAGTCGAATGAGTTAAAGAACCTCTAAAGGTACTCTACAGTGCAAGCTCGCCCGTGAATTCAGACGCAAACATCTGGAGTTATTAGAAAAGAAAAGCAGACAATACCACTGTCAGCTTAGAAACCTAACAAGTCAGCAGAAGAACTATGACAAGGCTTGATTTAAGATTCAATACAACAATCAATAAAGTACCTACATTCCAACAATAATCACTAACAATGATGAGGGGAAGGAAGATTCCATTTGCAAAAAACTAAAAACAAAACAAACAATCAAATAAACCTTGACTCACAGATACACATACACACACATCTTGAGAGGAAGGAGACACCTTTAGTAACTCCAAATTGGAGGTATCCAATCTTCCCCACAGAATGAAGCACGAGTTTAACACAAATCCAACTAAATCTAGGGAAGTTAAGGTAGTTTTGTTTCTGGGTTGTGGGATTCTTTGACTGATCAAGTGATTTAAAAATACATCTGGAAGAATAGACAAATAAAATGGCTGAAAGCTTTTTTAAAGAACAATGATAGGAAACCTGTAGTAAAACAGAAAACAGTAGAAGTTTAAAAAGACGTGAATGGAGACCAGAGAGCAGGAGGGAAGGGAAATTACTATAATAGTAAGTGATCCTGAACACGGCTGGGTTATTCTGAAAAAATAGACTCTGATAAAAATAGACTTTAATCCACCTTCCACCATGGATTAAAATAAGAGATAACTAATACAATTAATGATAATAATGATGACAAAATAAAGTCTTCATTTCTCAAATCTCTGGACTAAAAAAAAAAAAAAGACTGGCAGCTTCCAATGCATACAAATTAAACACTTGGGCAAGTCAGAAATCAAACATAATTAATAGAAATGAACTTTAAAAAATGTAAAAAACAATTACTTTTTTTAAAAATTGGCAGATGTCCATGTACAGAGAAGTTATGCAAATTAAGAAGACGGAGACTCTAAGGAGAGTAATAAGGAATCAGGCAAAGGGAAGAACAGACAAACGAGGAAGTGGATGAGAATTACTGAGCCACAGAGTATGCATTTTCACTAGTAAGTCCAGTGAGTCAGCGAGCCTTTAAATCCCTGGAGCATGAGTGGGGCAGAGGGTACGGTAGGTACCTTTAGCTAAAACCTTCGTGCCAGCACTTACACTTCTAGGAACCCATCCCACATAGATGTTTATTAAATTATTACATGTTATGGTTAAAGAGGGGATGGACGATTCCATGACCAAAAACTCAAAACAAAACATCCAAGCTTAATTTCTAAATGAAAAAATTTCAAGATGACCTTCTTGCCTCACTTAACTTCCACAATTTAGGAAAAGTAACTTGATACTGAACTGAAAACCTTCAACAGCACTTCCCTGCACTGGCTTATTCTCTCCCCACTACCTTATTTCTGTCATAATGAATCTTTCCTTCGGCAATCTCAGGCTAGGACTGTTTCCAGCAGCTTCCCAGTGACAATTTCTGTTTTAAATGCATAGGAGCCATCTGTCTAAGAACAGGAGGCTCTTTCTGTCCATCCTGCATCAAGATCAAATGCAGCCAATCATACAAAAGATAAGAGTCTAGATAATTAAAACTGAGTGACATCTTCTAGGTTGCAACACTGATCTCCAGTAAGGAGGTGCTCTCTGCCCCGGTGTCATGAGCTCATGTCTGTATGTAAGAGCCACATATTTTCATCACTTTCCCAGTCTTTGTTCACCCCCCCACAATGGCAGATCTGCTTTCAAGATCCGTTTTCCCATAGATACTGTGATTAAGGCAAAGAAATGAATCTCCACATTTTTAGACATTTATGATAAAGTTTGCTGTACCTTCCATGGAGGTTTTAGATCGCCGTTTTGATGTCTTTGTTGCCATTGATCTGGATGTTCTACTGGAAACCTCAGTCTTAAAGAGAATGAAAAAAATTAATTGATGCCTCACCCAGAGATCCACAAGCAGATTTATGAACCAAGCTCTATTCAAGGAAGAACAGGAAACAGAACAGACCATCCATAATCTTTAGAGGCACTGACACCAACTCGGTACATTTAAAGCACTCCAGGCCTGGGAGTCAAAGAGAGGCTGAACCCGCTCTCGCTCTAGATTTAGAACCCTGTCTTCTGTGCAGCCCTGAACAGGCCAGCAATTTGCCAACCATACTTTAATCAACTGCTACAGCTACACACTAGATCATGCATCCGTAGACAACTGTGAGCACAGATCAGAGAAAACAGCTCATCCCATCCCTCCCAACCCTGGCAGTTCCCGCCCTGCCACCTCCCTCAACCAGCCATGATGGCCTCCTATCTGACTTCCCAACCTCAGTCCCACACCTCATCCCTCTTTCCTGCAGCTGCCTGGAGGCGTTCTCTGAAAGCAAGTTAGATTGTGAGAACTGGATAAGTCTAACCTCCCAAGGATGGCCCATGTGGAGAGGATAGGGGCCAGCCTTAACCACACCCTGCCACTGGATACACTGCGGGGTCCCACACAAGCCAGCAGAGCTTGGCCTCTGCCTCCCTGTCTGCCTGGTGACTTAGTAGACTCATCCAAATGCCACCTCCCCCTCTCCCGAATGACTACCTTATCCCTTTGTACACCATACATAGCACTTGCCAAATGAAGCTTTAAGGAAGCCCAGGGGTCCACACAGGAGACCGGAGGATTGCACACCCCAGCTGTGTGTCCAGGCTGTAAGCCACTCAAATCATCGCTCCTACGACAAGCTGAACAGGGCCCTCCGGCCTGCAGCCCACGCTGCGCGCTCCTCCCGTCTTGTGGCTAGGAGAGGCCCCGGCACAGCAGTTACTATTTCCACACAGCCCAACTTTGCATCTCTTAAAGTTAGTTTTAAAGCTTACCTCTGCTTCAGCTTTGGAGTCTTTAAAAGATCCATCTGACAACTTTTTAGTCACCTCCCCGGAACTTGATGACTATAAAAAAAAGTGTTTTTCTTCAACTTCTAGAATTATTCAAACCTGTTACATCTAAAATGACATCCAAATGCAAGATGCTTCTTGCTGACAGCAGTGAGATAACCATTCCCCATGTCCCACTGCAGACTAAACCCCTGTGGCTGTTAGCTGCTTGGGTCCCAAAGAATATCCAGACCACTCCCACAAGGGGCAGAACAGGGGAAGCACACTTGGAGGCAGTGCCCCTCGGGGAAACTGCAGGACAGTGTCTCCTGGCACCAGGCCAAACCTCACATCCCAGTGAGACACAGGGACCCTGCAGTGGGGGAGAGTGACTTGCCCCCTGCCCGGCTCTGAGAGTCAGGCACTCTCAGAGGGAGGCTCCAGATTGGGCACCAGGAAAGCCATCTTTAAACAAATTGTAGGAAAACGGTGACCACCACCTCGCACCTTGGATCAAATTCCCTGGAAGACACATCTCATACTGGGAGAGGAGATACAATCACTGAGGTTCCTTTGTAAAGGCAGAGGGCATTATGCCTGTTCAACACTTCACTGACTAACTTTCCTCATTACTTAGTCATGATGGGACAGACGGTATTGGCCTTAATGACCCTGTTTGGGGCTCCCCAGCCCAGGTGCACCAAGCTGTCTCCTCAGAGGTGACAGGGTGTAACGCCCACAGATGGCCTGGGTCCTCAACCCTCACACATGTCACTCAGACTTCTCAGAGCACTTCACACCCGCCATTTCCCCTTTTCCTCCCAAACCCCAGAGGGAGGCTGAGAACGCCATCTAAGCTGGACAGAAGTCAAAGGGAGGCAACTTCCACCTCCCAAGCCACCGTTTACATAAGAAGTCAGGACTAGTGTCTCTCTCTCTCTGGCGGCCCAGCTCCAAGCAGGAACACAGCGCCTTCTCCCGGTCTCTCATACATTTACACAAAACCATAGCTCTTAGTACTTGGCTCCAATAGGTCCCACATATCCACCTGCAAAACCACTCTTTAGAATTGTCTCTCATAAAAAAATAAAATTAAAAAATAAATAAAATTTAAAAAGAAAAAAGAATTGTCTCTCCATCAAAACCTCTAATAGCACCAGCAAGTGTGAACAGAACAGTTGGGAAGAATGGTCATTCACTCTGTTGCCTGGAGCGTAGGAAAACACACCAGAATGTGCCAGCGTCTCAGAAAAAGCAGGGTGTTGATAAACACTTCTTAGACCTCTGGAAAGAGCAAGACAGGGGAGATGTTTTGTTTTTGTTTTTTTAACATTCTTTTTTTTTTTTAAATATATTTTATTGATTTTGTATAGAGAGGAAAGGAGAGAGATAGTTAGAAACATCGATGAGAGAAAGTCATCGATCAGCTGCCTCTTACACACCCCCTACTGGGAATATGCCCGCAACCAAGGTACATGCCCTTGACCGGGATCAAACCCGGGACCCTTCAATCCCCAAGCCGACGCTCTATCCATTGAGCCAAATCGGTTTCGGCAACATTCTCTTTTTTAATTGCTCTCAGAGAGAGAAGGGAGGAGGGAGAGAGAGGGTGAGAGGGAGGGAAGAGAGAAATATCAATGCATGAGAGAACATGGGGAATGTCGTATTTCTCAGACTCCTGCAGTGACCTGGTTTTCATGACACCTGCCATAAGCTATATTACTCCAGGGCCTGTGGGAACCCCACAGTTCTCAGTAGATCACAACTCAATTACTAACCAAACCTGTGTGCAGTGCCCAGGCCTCCCACAGAGCCAGGCCCATTTACCCCTGGGCCACAACCTGAGGTACCATGCTAAAAACCAGAGGGCTGTCCTAGGAGGAATCACAGCTCAGGCCTCGCCCCTCACCACCTTGAACTGACCTTGAACCTTTCTAGACCTTGGGTCCCTCCTTTCTAGCAGCTGGAGGCCAGAAGACCCCCCACAACCTTCTTCCCAGAACACTCTAGAACCGCATGATGCCCCCAGTAGAACAGACACCTATACCATGCATAGGGAACCCAAAGCAACTAGCACATTCAGAAAACACCGAAACCAAACTAATCTGGTCAATCCTAAATTTATCTGAACATTTAATTAAACAAGAAATACAGAAACCAAGGACTTACTGTACTTACCCACTAATACCTACAAGACTCAGGGAAGTAGCCATAATTCTTAATGAATGCAACTACAACCAGGCTCGTAGGCCCACACAACTCTGAGCCAGCCTGTGAACACTGCTCACAACTCTGGGTCCCAGCCATTCCACAGACTTCAGAAAAACACCCAAACACACTCACAGCACAGAGCAAATCTGAATCACCTGGCAAAAAACTGGCATCTCTTCTAGTTTCTACTGAGAATCCAAGACTGTCTTAATTTTAAATAGGTGATTAAAAAATCAGTTTCCTAGTCACATTCTAATGAAGACAAAAATCATTTTAGAGAACAACACAAACTCTAAGATAGAGGCTCACAGTTTTCGAAGAGAACTTTACCTTCTTCTCCGGTTTATCATGCTCTCGGCTCTTTTCCTTGACAGGGTCCCGTGCATGCTCCCCGTTTTTCACCCTCCGCCTGTCCCTATCCCTGTCCCTGCCTTTGTCTCGCTCACGATCCTTCTCCCTGTCTTTCCACCGCTCCTTTTCTTTTCCTCCCTCGTTTTTCCTCTCTCTCGCACGGTCCAAATCCTTGTCCCGGTCCCTGTTGCCTCTGTCTCTGTCCCTGTCAGGCCGGGCCCTGGTTCTGGTCCTCTCTCTCTCCCCTTCTCGGCCCTTGTCTCTCTCAGAGTCTTTATGTCGATCACGGTCATTCTCCTTGGTCTTCTCCTTGTCTCTTTCTTTTTCCCTCTGTTTGCTTTCTTCTTTCAAGTCTTCATTTTGTTTGCGATCTCTGCTTGTACTTCCCTCATTTATTTCAGAATTTCTTCTAGCCTGAAAAAAAAAGAAGAAAAAAGAAGTCAAATAACAAGCTCATTTACAGATGCCATTGCCTGACCTACAAAAAGATTCACTGTCTCGTGCTCCAATATGTCGCCTCGGAATCACCTCTTCATCTTTAGGAACCCTGGGCTCCTCTTCTCTCACATTCCTGTTGTCCGGTTCCTGAGGTTTCGACGTCAGTGAGGCCCTTCCCTTCACATCCTTCTCTCCGGCTAGCACTCTCTTCACCGCATCATCGCTGGACACCTTGTTGTCCCGTGGGAGGAAATGAAATGTGGGTGAAATTGGTATTAGCACACGTAACAAACATGAATGGTAACATTCAAAGGCAGCTCATTACAGATTCCTCGTCTATCAGTGAGATTCGAAGGACAAGACATGAAAAGGATGTGCTGTCGCCACAAAGTACACCACCTGCTGGCAGTACCCTAGCAGCACTGCAGTGTGGACAGCAGAACCCACCCGAGTGCAACGAATCCCGCTTGAAGTGTGGACACACTGTTCAAGACAACTCCACGAATGCCTCCCACTCCCTGTAGGGTCACAGACACCCACCATTAAAGGCCTGAAGGAAGGAAATAAGAATCTCGTTGCAGAACCTGCCCACCAGCCAGACCCTGGGCACACCTCACACTCATGCTCTCTCTCCACAAGGAGGCACTAGACTCTGGGGCCAAGGATATACTAGTACTGGAGCAGCCATCACCAATCAGTGGTCACTAAGGTCCGAAAGGTTGTCCACCGCTGTACTAGAGGATGTACTGCATACTAGGGGAGGTCCTGGGAGACATGGCCAAATACAATGGTTAAACGGCTGTGCTTATGTGTGCACTATGGGAACACAAGTCAGCCTGGGAGGGGGAAAGACTAGGGGTCCCACTTCGCTGCCAGCTAAAACTGGGAAGCAGGAGAACAACCAGAGCAGAAGACCTAGAAGCAGGCACAGGTGCAGTAGACGAGAGAGAACTAGCGGACGGGGAGTAGCAGCAGGTCTCTCAGGGTCTTATGAGCCACATCACAGAGCTGTCTATGCGTGCACGCGCACGCGCGCGCGCGCGCACACACACACACACACACACACACACACACACACAATCACAGGCAACAGGAAGCCTCAAAGGATTCGGCAGAAAAGACAGGAGTCAGATTTGCTTTCTAGAAAGAGAAGCAAAGTGAAGGAAGTGGGGTGGGGATTGGGGACGGAAACATTCTCTCTCCTCACCACCACCCGCACTGGCAAAATCAGCTTCTGCATCTCCAAGCCAATGAAGGTTAGCCCCCAGCCCATAACCCACCAGGTACACGAAGGGCTTTATTAGCTAGCCCTTGATAAAAGTCCAACCCCACAGAGAAGGCAGGCCCTCGGAATGACCTTCTCCATCCTCTCAGCAAACAGGGCCAGGTTGCATTTAACCAGAGGCCATGCTTGCAGGCCACAGTGAGGACCTCCAGAAGTAACAATTCTAGTCCCTGTACAATTGAAACGAGTTTCTCTGAAGGCAGCACAGCTCTGCAAACAACAACCAGGAGAGGGGAGGGGCAATAGGGAAGAAAGGAGGGAGGGAAATGACATCAGAGGCTGGAAAGGCAGGCAGAGAACTGGAACGTCCCATGAGACCCAAATAAGAAAAGGAGCTCCTCCATCTACCTGGGCCCCATTGGAGATAGTCACCTGCCCTGAAAGGGGGCCCAAAAGGAGAACAAGGCCAGGAAGCCTGGGTACACGGCCTCGGGCCACCGGCCCCAGGAGCCGAGTGTCTGTGAGTCCCAATTTTACACTGAAAGCCTGCGGAACTTGGGTCTCTGTTTCATTATACTGTTTTAAGTTTCTCCCATGTAACGCTGAGGTTCCAGATTAGGTGGGATCAGATTCAAAGTGCAGGGTCCAACACACACCACCCAAAACTCCTTCCGTTGCTGCTGCTCTCATGCTGTGAGTTCTAAGGGCCCGGCTGCAGCATTACCTTGCTGAGGCAGCACTTTCCAATTCTCTGGAGCAGTTCGTTTGTTCTCTCAGGCTCGTGCCCCGCCACGATCCGGGCTGGCTTTGCCGACAACGGCTCTCCCGTGACCATCACCACTACGTCTATGGCCTTCTGAAGGAAGCTAATTTTTGCGTCTTTATCCTGAAAGATTTCCATTTAAAATACAAATAACAAAATACTTCAAAAGGTTTGTGTTACCTTTAGTATATTCGGTAGGCACAGTTCCTGTTTGCATAAAAAGCTATTCTGAGATGTCGATTTAAAAATACTGACCCTCTATAACAAAATAAAACAAAAAATGAATAAAGCTTTTAATATCAGTTGATGTCGTAGCACTAACCTTTGCAACATTAATCCCATTTCTCAGTGAATAAAATTAGCATGAATCCAGTTGCCAAAAATGAAAGGAATATGAGTATACAGTAATTCACAAATTACCCAATCATAATCAGCATATAAATGACACACACCAAGGTACACAGATTTAAAAAAAAAAACACAAAACATTAAGGCGAGGGAAATAGCCCCTCTCACACCTACCTTCACATTATCTGACTTCATCTCGGCGTCCGTGTACAGGCCCTTCATGAAGCCAGTCATCCGAATCACCTTCAAAAGATAAAACAAAGCATGATCAGCAACCCACAGGGCAGCCTCTTCATCAGCCTCTTTCACTGAACTCCAAATCTGTCCACACCCAACATCTAATTCATGTACTCACCCCACAAACACATGTCTGTCATGCGTGAAGCCTTGACCAGGCAAAACCAGCCTCGCTGTGGGGATAGGTAAACATCAAAGAGACTTATGGGGTTGAAGGGGAAAGGGGGATCCGTACCAATCCAAACTTGGACGGGTGAGGGTGTCAGGGACTGCCTCCCAGAAGATGTCAGATCTAAACTGAGACCAGAGGCGTACAGGAGAAGAGTTGGGAGAGAGGGTATTGAGGTAGAGCATGCCAGGCTAAGTGAACAGCCCTGGAAAGGGCTAGACCAAGAAAATCGCAGCCTGAGGCCAGAGTCAGGCATGGGCCTGACTCGGATGGCCCTTGAAGCCACTCAGGAATAGGGACTTAGCCTAAGACCACAAGGAGCCCTGGGAGGTTCAAAAGCAGGAGACATCATCTTACAAGGGTCACACAGGCCCAGTGGAAAGAATGGACTCCAGAAAGAAGAGGAACTTCCCAGCCTGGGTTTCTGAAACTAGGTGGAAGGTCTTTCTCCTTCACTGTGTTCCTCACTTCCTGGGACAGAGGGTGCTCCGTGCCACATCACTTCTGTCCTCTCCCTCAGTTAACCTGCCCCTCCCAATGACCCCGGACACTAGCCTTTCTGTTCCTCCTCATCCCCACACACAGCCAGACCCAGAGTTCTCCAAGACCAGCTTTTTTCAAAATGTGGTACATTACTATAAAATCAACACAACGGATAGCAACAGCATTTTTTAATGAAACAACAAAAAAATCAGACTGTATTTTTATATAGTAAGAGTGAATATCTCTATCTGTGTGCATTTCAGGTGGATATAAAGCATATTTATTATTGGAAGATGTGTTTTTAAAAACAAAAAACAGTCCCATGCTAAAATCAACTGCTTCTCTGAGACCTAGTTACAGCCAGCTACTGATTAAACGTTTCTTCCTCATCAAACTAGGTAAGAGCTGTGCCATTAATTTTCCTGGGAAAACAGATAGAACATTAAGAGTACCCTGGCTCTAGCTAGTTTGGTTCAGTGGATAGATTGTCAGCCTGTGGACTGAAGGGTTCCAGGTTCAATTCTGGTCAAGGGCATATGCCCAGGTGGTGGGCTCTATCCCCAGTAGGGGGTATTCAGGAGGCAGCCAATCAATGATCAGTGATTCTTCATCATCATTGATGTTTCTCTTTCTCTCCCCCTCTCTTTTCTTCTCCTTTCTTCAATAAAAATATATTTTAAAAAGAAAAAAAGAGTATCCTGTACTTCGTATTCCTGGAAACTTTTCATTTTGTCTCTTTTGATGTTTTCCCAGTTAGCTGGCAGTTAAAATTGTGAGCAATAATTTTCAGTGACAAGAGACATCAACATCACAAGATCAATTATTTGACTTAGGAAAGAGGCAAAATTATTTAGCTGTAGCTAAGATGATAAGGGGGGGACTTAAATATAATACTCAGGGGCAGTAAAGAATTTTCATACAAGGCTCTGCACTTGTTATCTGAAAATGCTTTCCAGTGCATCTGCCTGAGGACACACCAAGACCCAGGGGAGGAGGCATGTCCCCCACCTCCCTTTCTGGCTCTCCGTGTCAGGGGGCAGACAGGACTAACGTGGAAGATAAAAGTGTGAGGCCATAGTCGGCCAGGCTCCCAGCCTGGTGCCTCACTTGTGCCCTCCTGGGTTAGAAGACGCTACCTGCCTGCTTCACAGGTTGGAGCTGATGAAACACATGGGTATGCCCCTTCCCCACACATCATCCAGGGCTGCAGGAGGAGGAGGAGGCCAGACAGCCCTTTGGATGTGGGTGGGATTCCAGAGAGTGTTAAGCACAAGTAGGGCTTTTTAACACAGAGACACATATTACAAACATGTTATAAGACAGCAGAAATGAGTAAAGCAAAGTTTGTGGAAGAGTAAGATGCCCAACCTGCTGGAAAGAGTGATAAATGACATTTGAGAACCAACAAGGGGGGAGATCAGGAGCCTCCAGAAGTCTGCAAGTTCAAGCCGAGTCCTAACTCCACAGAGGACGCCGGAGGTCGATGCCGGTCCCAGGTGCTCCATGGAGATGGACGCCGCCACGGGCGTTACCAGGAGCCCTGACAGGTTCTAGGTAACAGGATGTTTGTGTGCACCTTCTGTGCACTGCACCCGGTGCAGCTCACCGGCAACATGTCAACAAGTTACAGTGTCCGTGGCTCAGGAATTCACCTTCCTTCCACTAGGGAAAGGTTACAACCAACCTCAACCGAGGCAGGCTGTGCCGCTGATGAGCAAATACTAACGTGCTCGTTTATAGTTTCCCACCTACAACCACCTTCGATAAATTCACCCACGGGTATTTATTAAACATACAATCTGTAGGAAAACTGTGCAGGGCCCTGTAAGAGGAAAACTAGGGGGTAGAGGAGACCATAAAAAATGATAATTTCCTTCTTGCAGGATTTCTCTGGCCGCCTTCCACCTGCTTGGCACTGAAGAAAGAAATCACAGAAACAGCTCTGGCAGGTAGAATGTAAGCTGTGCTCTAAGAGATATAAAGGCGGGCTGGAAAGAAATGGCCAGGAGGCGCCCCAGAAGAGGTAGCCCCGGGGGATGAATGGCAAGGGCGGCGCAGGAGTGGAGAGGCAGGCACTCGGCGCACAGGCACCACTGAACTGGGCCCGAGGTCGCCCCTCGGGCCCAAGGCCAGGTCAAAGGGGGGCTCCGCAGGCAGGGGCTGCGCACAGCCACGCGAGGCCCGACCCCGACACCGGCCCTCATTCCCGCCCCGGCCGACGACCACCCACACTCCGGTGGACCCTGACCCCAGACCTGCACCTGGGCCCAATCACCGACCCCGATCCGCACCTGGTCCCCGGCCCACACCCAGGCCCCCGGATTCCCACCTCGTCCCGGCCCCGCCCCGCCCCCTGCCCGGGCCTGGACCCCGGCCTGGCGCCCCACCTCAGTGATGATGTCGTGCAGGTAGCGGAACGGGGGCTTGCTCAGCAGCTTCTCCGTCAGCGGCGGCCTCCGAATCACCCTCCCCAGAGCCTCCTGCGTCCGCTTCACCACCGCCGCGTTCATGGCGGCGCCGTCCGCACCCCGGCCGGCCCGCCCGCCGAGCCTCAGCCCCGCCGCCCAGCCGCCCCGCCGCCCCGCCGCCCCGGCTCCGCCGCTGCCGCCACCGCCCGCTCCGGCCCGGACGCGCCGCTCTAGTTTCCATCCCACAGTGCACCGGTGTCCGCCACTGCGCGTGCGCAGAGCCGCGGCATTCGGTCGCCAGGGCAGCGCGGCCTTAGCAACCGACGCCAAGGGGCGAAGGCCCCTGCCCGGCTGCGCTCGGAAGCCGGCTCGCCCCTGTCCGCTGGGACGGCGCCCTCTCCCTGGACCCTCCCAACGGTCCCGGAAAGTGGGTTCCCCCGTCCCCTCTAGTTAGAGGTGACCGCCGAGGAATGCTTAACAGCCACACAGCCTCCAAGATCTGTGTGGCCTGTTTCACAGGCTCTCAGGAGACTGGGCTAAGCTCACAGGGGATAGAAAATGCGCAGTCCTGCCTGTTAGCATGGCTTCCTGCGCCAGTACAGTCGCTCGTTTTCTCTGAGTCTCCTTTTCTGTTCCAATAAAGCAGGGACAGTAGGGACCAGCCTCCCTCATTCCCAGGGCGGAGGGGATTGAACTGTGCCTTGGTGTCCAGTAATCAGTGCAAAGTCAGGTCTCGGAGTTGTGTCTAGTGTCTGTGGTTCTGCCACCTGTCTCCATCCACCATGCACAAGCTCAGTGCAGAGACGCTAGAGACCCTTTTAGCTACCTGGAAGCTTGGCGATCTAGTTGTAGTTCTTCTTATGGATACCTTTGTAACTTTGTTTACATTCCCTTTTTTTTTTTTTTTTTTTTTTTTACCATTTTTAATGTTCTTTGTTCCTTGTAAAGACCAACATTTCCATCCGGTGTCATGCTCCTCCTGTCTGAACACCTTCCTTTACTATTTCCACTGGTCTCCTTGCAATGAATTCTCTCACCTTTTGTTTGTCTGAAATTCTTTACTGCACCTTCACGTTTGAAGAGTAGTTCCACTCTCTGTAGAGTTCTGGGTCATTTTTTTTTTTACTCCTTTCAGTACTTTAAACATTTTACTCTACTGATTTCTAATTACAGAGTACAGAAGTCTTCTGTCATTCCTATCTTTGTTCTGTCTATTGTGTATCTTTCTACCTTCAAGACATTCTTTTTAAGTTTGCCCATAAGTTTATGGAGTTTTTTTTACTTAAAATTTAATTATTATTGACATATAATAAAATTCACCCATTTTAAGTGTGCAGGCTTCTATACAATTGTTACCACCACCACAATCAAGATGTAGAACATTCCTGCACTTATACATCTCACCTGCTCATCTCCATGTCCTCCCCCAATCCAGCCCCAGGCAACCACTGATCTGGTTTTTGTTAATCATAATTTTGATTCATCTATAGTTTCATATTAGTGGAATCATATAGTACATAACTTTTTGTGTTTAATTCTTTCTCATAAAATGTTTTTGAGAGTTACAACATTGCTACATATATTAATGTAATTCCTTTTTATGGCTGAGTAGTATTCTGTTGTACAATTTGTTTATTCATTCACTAGTTGATGGACATTTGAGTTACTTCACAGTTTTGTTTTGTTTGTTTGTTTGTTATCCTGTATAATAAAAGGCTAATATGCAAATTGACCAAATAATAGCAGAATGACTGGTCGCTATGACACACACTAACCACCAGGGGGCAGATGCTCAATGCAGGACCTGTCCCCTGATGGTCAATGTGTTCCCTCAGGGGGAGCGCCGCTCAGCAAGAAGCTGGGCTCTTGGCTGGCAAGCACAGCAGTGGTGGTGGGAGCCTCTCCTGCCTCTGTGGAAGTGCTAAGGATGTCCAACTGATGGCTCCCAGACTGCGAGAGGGTGCAGTCTAGGCTGAGGGATCCCTCCAAATGCACAAATTTCGTGCCCTGGCCTCTAGTTTATGAATAACACTACTAAGACCATTTACATACAAGTCTATGTGTGATCATAAGTATTCATTTCTCTTGACTACATACCTAGGAGTGGGATTGCTGGATTGTATGCTAAAGATATGTTTAGTTTTACAAGTTACTACCATACTGTTTTCTTAGTGGCTGCACCATTTTTCATCCCCTCAGGCAGTATCTGGGATCTCTGGTGAATCCATGTCCCCGGATACCTGCTATATCAGTCTTTAACTTTAGCCATTGTAGTAAGTGTGTAATGGTATTTTATTCTGGTTTTAATTAGCATGTCTCTAGGGTTAACAGTTATGAACATCCTCTCATGTATTTACTGGACATTTATATATATTTGGTGAAGATAGCCCATAAAGTGTCATGCAGGCATTTAGTGACTCACTGCCTAGGTGCTGGGGTTTCATAGAGAACTACAGACCCTCTGGTAAGCAACTTCCTCATTGCTCTCCCTGTGTACTCTGCATTCAGGACTGTGTGAGCTGCGGTCACCTAGACAGGCCAGGGGAGCAGGCAGGGCAGGTCTCCCCTCAGCAGGGACAACCTTATTCTTTCCACATTTCATCATGCAGGTGGGCTGAAGGTATGAGACTTTACTGAGAGGTTGGGGGAAGCCTAAGAGAATGACACTCCATGATGAGAAGAATTTGACAACACTCACTGTGAGAAATAGACCCCGTGAACTGACTGGCCCTCAGGGAGATTTCCTCATTCATGGCCCTCAGTTAGTAACCCTGATCCCCAACCCCTGGCCAGAGCACCTCCATTCTCTGAGCCCTGCCAGACAGTTCCCAATCTGAACTCTCCAGACTCACCCCACAAGGCTTCCTCGGGACAGCCAGCTGTGACATTTGGCATTCCGTCCCTTGGAACAGTCCGGGGTGATGATGGACAGTGAATGAGGCTTCTTCCAGGTCTCCTAGATCCCTGTATTCCCTGGTTGTACACACACTTATCTTTATCACATGTGTCCCGTATCCTAAGAACAAACATTGATTCTCAATCAGTTCACCATAAAGAAAAATAAAATAGTTCCCCAACTGCCTAGTCATTTCTGCACATTATCACCCACACTGAAATAAACCCTTCCCATTCACAGAAAGAAGGATATAAGTAAAGGATATAAGTGCCTGTCTTTCTCCTGGCCTGCCCATCACCCACCTCACTTTTAAAAGTGAGGCCACAGTAGGACGGTCAACTTCATGGTTAGGGCCCTAGTTCAGGAAGGCTGGACCCAAGCTCGGAAGTGCTTAAGCCCTGAGACAAGGACGCACGTATTAGGGGGAGAGGGGGTGGGTATCATTCTCCCAGGATGGCTGTGTGGAGCCCCTCAGAGAATGCCATGTTGTCTGAGGGCTGGAGTGTTGGCCCCAACATGTTCCCTGATCTCACTGTGGCCCAGAGGCTGTGAGAACCACCTACCTCAGAGCTCTGAATACTGGCTGGGGGGTGGCCTGATCAGGGAATGAAGGGTGCACTTAAGGAGATTCCTGATCCTGGCCTCTGACCCCAAGTGGCCTGCCTTGTCAACAGCCACCCCAGCCCCTTCTCAGATAGTTCACAGCCCAGGGCTGCAGGAGCTGAGGCCAGCAACCGGCTTGTTTGCCACCAGTAGGGAAGTCTATGTGGCCATTAAGAGCTCTCTGCCCCTGAGGCTTCACTGAGGACCCCAGCCAGGGACCCACAAGGGAAGCCTGATCCCAGTTCTCCCACAGCCTGCAGAAAGCAGGGGGCCCTCTCGGCCTGCAGAGGCCCGAGGCTCGGGTCTTGCTGCTCTCTGTGGGAACTCGAGGCCATGAAAGAGGGTCTGAGAGGGTCTGGGATGAGGGAGCAGAGCTGCCTGACTCCACTGAGGGCCTGTCTGGGGGGAGGTGGCTGTGGAGTGGACACTCGTCCCTGGAGGTCACAGCCTTAACACTGCCCCTAGGCCAATCCACACTCTCCACTGAGGGGTTGGGGAGGGGGGCAGGGGACATTCTGGTGCCTTAGAAAGCAAGGCTGATGAAATGCAAGTATTTTCTGCTCCAACAAAGAGACCTGTAAGCAGGGCCACAGTGGGGGCAGGAGGGTGGCCAGGGGCCAGCCCAGAGCCTCTAGTTCTGGGAGCTGGTGGGGAGGAGGGTGGCCACTGTAGCCTGAAGTATCCTGAACTCCTAGAGTCATGAAAAGATTAAAGGAAAAGGAAAAAAGAAAAGAAAATTAAAATTTTAAAAAGAATCATTCATAAAAAAAGTAATTGATTAATTACTGTAGAAAATTACAGCAAAGAAACTTGTTTGAAACATAAAAGGCTGGCAGGAGGTGCTTTTGGAATAAGCAGTTTCTGAGTGAATGAAGATGACCTGCACACTATGACCATGACTCATCCCAGGAGAGGGAGCTTTACAAAGCCAAGTGACCTCCAGGCCTGACCTGCCCTCGCCTGGGAGCCAAACACTCCAGGAGACAAAGGCCTGGGGAGACCCTAGAGACCAACTCAGAGCTCCACTGCTGTGAAGAGCCTGGGATGTGGGTCAGTCTGTGGGAAGAGCTGGGGTAGCAGGTGCCAGGCAGGAAAGCCGCCCAGAGCCTGGAGACAGCCTTAACTCCCTGACAGGCTCAGAAGGGCATCATCTAAGCTGGGAGGTGACTGACACTTTTCTGTGAAACCTGAGGGGTCTTGTCCCCTCCTCTCCAAGTGAGCCTAGAGAAAAAGAAGTCAAAGTCTTCTTCTATCTGTCCCTAAACTTGCTAAGATCACTTCTGCCTCAGGACCTTTGCACTTGCCGGTCCCTTTAGCTGAATAAGAACACTCATTCCCCCAGATCTTCATCTGCTTGACATTAGTTAGGTTTCAGCTCATTGTGATATCCTCAGGATATCAGAAACATCGCATCTGAACTCTCCAGCCCAATATCTTTATTTCCTCCAATGTCCTTGCTAATGTGATTTTCATTCAGATCTCCCTTTTGTTTTCTGCCTCCGCCCCCACTCCCTGAGTACAGAGGCCTGGTTGGTTTGCTCCCCCCTGAACCTCCTCTAACCTTCCATGCTATCACACACATAGAGGCACATGATAGCTACCT